GATCATTGTGAAACTAGTTTCGAAACTTATCAAAACTAAACAATTTCAAAACTCCTTAGTTTTGGTGACCATCACTAGATCTCGTATTTGCTTATCAAGGGAAGAATCAGGACGTCCCGTCTCAAGATATCCGATTTCGATTTTTTTACTTTTCACTTGTATTATAACCATATAATCAGGTCGTTTAGCACATTTTGAAGATTTCTTTCGCTCAGCACTAGCTGAACTTGCCTGATCTCCCCTTTATACAAAAAAAAAACTTGTGTTAGTATCATCAAAAATACAATGATTTAAAAGATTTTAACTAAACCTTACCATACTCCCCATACGTCTGAGTCTATTGGTAATTCACTCATTGCAATGTTAAGTAACGGTGAAATAATCTCACATACGTATGACCCCTCGTTTATGGCAAGTTCCCTAGTTTTCGTAAATAATTTCCATTTTGGTGATACCCAGATCCGTTTTAATGCCTGTAACATTTGATTTGTCAACTCTTGTAATTTTCCGGGTTCATCTAAAAATTCACCAAATCTTGCATCACCAAGTTTTTCGGAGGTTTTTGTGAGATTCCTCTCTTTTTCTTTTTGAACAAATTCATTACAAAGACATTTTATCGACTCGTTGATTGGTATTAGAAATTTTTGACTCGGTTTTTTGAAAATATCGCAAAATTCTTTTATCATTTCTGTAAAAGGCAACGAGCTATCATCCAATATACCTGAGCATAATGGATGATCGTAACCCAGCTCTTCTATATTAATTTCACGTAACTTCTTTTCCACATTCTCCCACATCTCTTTATCATCTCCGAAGCTTGATATTGCAAGCTAAAGATACATAGGTCAATATATTTTTGTATTGTGAATAAATAAAAAATTAATTCTAATAAAATACAAACCTTGTGCACTTCATGCTTTAATAACTCGAAATTATTAACCGCGTTGTCTACCCAGGATGTCTCGATCCTCTGTTATTATAATATTATAATTATTCATTATTAAATCTAACTCCATGAGATAAAAATAATACGATAAAAAAATAATACCAATGCATTCAATTCTATTAAAGAGTGAACATAATCAAGCGCATCTGACACCTAAAATAATAAATAAAGTCAAAATAAGTTACTTGAATCGCGATAATAATATCTAATAACAATGTACGCGTGATCAGAGATAGTTTTTAATTTCATATAAAAATTTCATAAATATTGGCCAAATTATAATAAATAACCTTAGTGGAATTCACATATTGTATTTAATAAATTTAGACAGCTACTACTTCGGCTCCAATTACTTGGATAGGCGAAGTCCATTCACTGCCCAAATTTTACTTTATATTTCATCCACTTAGGTAAGAAGTGATGAAAATATATGATAATCCCTTAGGCAAAATATAGTTACAAACGATCATTTTCTATCACTTCTCTACAAAAAACTATCAAATTCATCATATCTAATTTACTTTAAGCTATTATTAATTTCAATAACTTACTCGCTGTTTTAAATCGATTCCAGTTCCAAAACTCTGAAGTTTCCTCAAACGTTCGTTATCATCCGATGGCACTCGCTGTAACACACTTTTTAATGTCTCTACAAAGTATTCTACCTCCTGCTCATGATTTCCACTCCATTTACCCGATTCTAGATGTTTATATAAAGCACTCGCAACGGTAATAGTTGATAATGGGACGTAAGTTAATAAAAAGTTTTCCATTGTTAGAGTCGATTTAAAAAATATAGAATTTTATGGTAAAAAATGTTAATGTGAATAAAATTGCAAATGAATAACCATAACTCAATATACTGCCCTTTTTAAACGCTTTCCTTCCGTGCCTTCCTCTAGATTTATCGAACAGAGATAAAGAATGTGTTTACGCCAAAGATTTCTTGCACAAAGAAAATTTGGTTAATCGCACAAATAAACATGCATGCATATAGTCAGGTGGTTATATGCATTGAATTTTTTTGTTGCACAACCCCATTAAAATCTCGTATGATATAATTGATTATCTGATTGATTATGCGGAAATCAAAATTTGAATTTCTTCTATTATTATTATAATATACACATCAGAAAATAATATTATCTCCCACCTTGTGACTGCGAAGTAAGAAAAATAAAGTCAAATGTTATATGAACTCCCGATTTTTACGAAGAAGTTACGATCAGAGAATTTACCTTTTGGGGAAAATTTTATTTCAATGCAGTAGAGGTAAGTATACGCTTATTTATTTGAAACTAGATCAAGATCATGGATTAAACGAGAGAATATTCCTCAAAGACACAAATATCGGTATAGATAATTACATTTAATCGAACAAGAAATACGTAGATTTTTTTTTAAAAATAGCAAATAGATATCATTATTTTTTATTGTAATATTTGATATATAATAATAATGATTTTTAATGATATTTGATATAGAAAAATAGAAAAATAGGAAAATAGAAATAAACGCGAGCTTGCATGGGAGGGATGCGAAAGCGCATATAATGCACGACTCCAAGGCCATGTAATGTGCATCCCTGTACTTTGGGCTCGCGATTATTCAGTACTAGTAATTATAAGATTATTTTTGTTTCTACCGCTACTACTACTAACGGACTTGTCTTTCTTTTTCCCTTCTTTATCGACCCAAGCTTCGATTTTATCTAATGTTGTAACAAGCGGTTTTTTTTGGTGGCGATAAAATCCAGATAACGTCGCAGGACTAAGTCTAATTTCTTCAGATAAGACATTGTACATTGTAGCGGGGGAACGCCCTTCTCTTTTTCTTCTTTCGTCGAAGAGGTAGGTAAATTCAACCCAGGTAGATTCGGTTTCATCTGGATATTCAGATCTATGGCTTGTAATAGAGGCACGACCTGTAATGTTAGACTCGTTAATATAAATTCTGGAATGAGCGAGTTCACTTGCATCATAAGATAAGTTATCAGGCACGTAAGTGCCGTTGCTTTGCAATAAATTTACCTAGACTCTGGGTTTCATTTTTCCATTCTGATTCAGTGCGCATTTTACTGATTTCATTATTGAGCGCTAAAATAGTTTTTTCAATGTTTTTTGTAGCTGGATCCACGCTTTGTTGCTTATACGAGATGCGCATAAATATCATGATTACATATGGTGCGATGAAAATCAAAAAGAAAAAAACATAAATTATATCGATAGACATTTTTAAATGGATTTTTAAATAGATTTTTAAATAGATTTCTGATCGATTTTTTTGATTAGGTGTTACAGTTATGAAATAGAAGTAGAGAAGTTGACTTATCTTGTATTTATATATCTTTCTCCCATCACCACCCGCAGTCTAAAATTAGATCAAAACCTTCTGAGAATAACGATGACGCATTACAGAAGATGTGTAATATTAGCATGAGTTACATTCGTGCTAAAAGACAATTATGTTTTTTATTATTAATTCATACAAGAAAATCTCCTATACCGAATTGGATTTTGACGCACTGTCAAGCTAGGTAGATTTTATTATTATTATCATTATTATTACTATCAAATAAGTATATGGTAATTTTCCTCCGCAATGATTGTGACGCACTGACAAGCTAGGTAGATTTTATTATTATTATCATTATTATTACTATCAAATAAGTATATATGGTAATTTTCCTCCGCAATGATTGTGGAGAATAAAATACAATCACTAAATGAACTCGCGTAATGATTTGTTCAGATAACTTTTTACATATGCTAATTTTATATGGATGATCCAGTATATTATTGCAGATCGGCCCAGAGGGGGTAAGTCTAAAGACTCATGGCGCTTACGTACTTGACATATATTAATTAAGTATTTTTCTATAGGCGATCTTGACAACATTTCTTGTTTTTTAATCAAAGTAAGAAGTTAATACATCTATAATTCAAATAAACGAAGCTTAGTGTTTTTTGACACATAATAATAAATTATAATATTATATTATATATATTTGACCGAAAAAATCACGTGCGCCAATCACTTTGGCAAGAAAAAATCGGAATTAATTACTTATTATCTATTATGTGCCTATTTCTTATGAGGACCTTGTCCATAACTCCTCGAGTTGCCCCTGCGGGCCTGCTTCGCAATAATGTCACTCCGTGTCTGACACTAGCTCCGCTATAAAGCACCATTATATAATTCACGAATTGTGAAAATGAGGAAGACTAGATATGCTGGCCTGTCTAAGATAATTATTTAATTCAGTAATAAAAAAATCTGGAGAAATTGATCCTCTTATAAGTGGAGGGGGTTCGTCTTCTGGATCAGAATTAGAAGAGTCAGTCTCAGAATCAGGCCAATCGCAATATTCTTCGTTGAAATTATCGATATGAATATTTGGGTTAAGTTGTTTTATAGCTTTTTTACTAATATTTTTAACACCCTCCAAATCAAGGTATTTTAAAATAGGACATGAACGGGCGATTTCTCTGATAGTTGCGTTAGAGAGTTTGCAATAAGCAAGTGCGAGATGCTGAAGTTTAGGACAAGAGCGAATAACATTGCAAATTGATGAATTAGTAATGAAATCATTCCCGTCAAGTTCAAGATATTCCAATTTATGACATGTGTGAGCTATTGCCTCAATAGGATCATTGCCTATATCATTACCACTTATATCGAAATGTTTTAAATTCGGAGAAGATCTGATAATAGCTACAATAAAATCATCATTTAGATAAGCCATAACACCACTAAAATCAAGATATTCCATGCTGAGGGATCTTCGTGTTAACAAACTAGTATCTTCAATTTTACCGCGACTAAATGCAATATCAAGACATCGTAATTTTGGACATTGGTTTATGACGCAACTTATTGATTTATCAGTAATCCAACGTGCTTCACTAAAGTAAAATTCTTCCAAATTCTGACATGATTCTGCAATTTTTATTAAGGATTCATCAGTAATAGATTTACAGAAAGAAATGTTTAGATATTCCAATTTATAACATAATTGTGCAATTGTGGAAAGTCCTTTATCGGTTATTAATTTGTTATCCCATAAATTAAGATATTTCAAATTCGGATATGATTCAGCTATAATAATTAGTGCTTTATCGCTAAAACCTTCACTACTTTTGAAATCTAGATGGATTATATTTGGACATGAATCCACGATACTTTTGATTATTTTATGTGAAATTGAATGATAATATGTAAGTTTGAGGTGAGTTAGGCTTGACCTATAAATTGGTTTTTTATCTCCACATATTATATCTAAGAACTTTTCCAATCGTGTTCGATCTTTTTTACAATAATTATAGTCATCTGGAAAATAATGTCCATGTTGTAAATCATTACCTTTTAACTCGATATTCCGCCATATAAGTGGTGCACTACATCTATACCAAAAGCGGTTAACAAACAAAGTGGGATGGAGAGAATGTTCTATTGCTAAAAAATGTAGAATCGATTCTAATAATTCCGGCAAATTAAAAATGTTAAGTTGTGGCATTTCGAAGTAGTATATATCGGAAATCTAGAAATCAAATCATAAATAATTATTATACTCTGCTACAAAGCATTATTATTTGTAATATGGAGAACAACCCTGGAATTTATTCAGTCTTCAGCTTGGATTATCCTACCTAATTCTGATCTAATTATCCGTTTTGCAATCCGCTCCATTTCAGCCTCTTTCTTTTTTCGTTTTTCACTGGTATCTTGCTTAACTATATTGGGTCCTTTAACGAGAAGCTTCGTTTCCTCAGGTAAGGCTATTTCTTGAGAGGCATTGGGAGATGTTTCAGACTCCTTGAATTTAACATTCTTATTATACCATTCAGGCAAGTTGGGTTCCCCTATCGAGTTGGCATGTTCATAAGGATTGGATGACGCCCATATTTTTTTGATCGTTGTAGAACCTATATGGTAATGGGCATTGACTTTTTTTATTCCAGCTTTGAGTTGCTCGGCAAATAGTATGGCAGTGATATCTTCTTTAGCTAAACGGGATGGAACTGTTTTTTTCTTGGAAGACTTCGCCGAATCATCTTTGTCAGATTTTTTTGATGGCATCTTGAACGAAAAATTGTATCTTACAAGAAAAAAAATATACAATATTTATTATAGCGGAGCTATTGCCAAGGCACATAAATTATGAATATGAAACACATTTAATACCACCGGAAATATCTTTACCATCTCTCTTCCTGGATTGACGTCAAAAACAAGCTTAATGCATGGAGTGCACTTTCTCTGAAAGATCGTTTTTATACAACAACAATACACACCTCTTATTTCGGAAGAAATGGTATTCGTGGAGTCATGAATTTTTTTCTTGCCAAAGTGATCGGCGTAAAGAATCTTTACGCGCACGTGATTTTTTACGATATTTTGAATAAATCTATTTCTTATATAAAAGAACATGGCATCGGAACTTGAATCATTGAAACAAGAGAATGCCAGACTTATGGCTAGAATTGTAGAATTGGAGCAGACTGCAAAAGAAAAAGATGAGCTTAAAGCTAGAATTGCGGAATTGGAACATGCTATGGAAGAGAATACTCAGCTTAAAGTCAAAGTAACTAAATTGGAACACGATTTTGAGGAAATCAAAAAGCGAACCCAAACCATTACTAATACACAGGAAGCAAAACTTCAAATCTCCGATTCATCCTTAAATTATTCAGAATCACAAGTAACTTCTCTACCTCACTGCGAAACAAATGACTCTGTAACTACTAGCATTACTCCCATAACTCCCGAGCAGATAGAAAATATATCTAATAACGCTTCAAATTCTGATGTACGTCAGAAATCTTCGACTCGATGCTATACATCACCTATCTGCACAGAGCCTAAATCGTTGGAAGATAAGGAGGTCGATGAATTCCTGGATTCAGTGAATAAAGAAAAGGTTAGTAACGAAATAAGAGAAAGAAATCAGGAAAAGAAGCTTCTACGTGAATCTGCAATAAATCAAGACTTGACTTCGGATAACATTTTATCAAAGCTATCCAATTTATCATGTGACACAAGAACTGTTCCCTTGGGGAACGATCAAATTCATGCAATTTCAGAAGAGCCAGATTTTCCGAAAACTGAAATGTCTGAATTGGAGCACGATGATGAGGTTGATAAAAATCAAATCGTAGAACAGGGCTTAATAGAAGAACTGTGTTCATCTACTGAGATTGCTTCCGCAATAGAGAATACTAGCTCTACCGAAACTAGCATCTCATGTGATAAATCAGAATACACAATTTTAGGTGAGTCAGAAACTCGAAGCTCTGCATCTTCCGCTCAACATCTTTCTTGTTTATTTAAAACGGCAATCAAATCTCGTCAACAAGAAATCTTAAACTGGTATTATTATTCTCTTGAATTCGAAAAAAAGGTTCATGCTATTACAGCTGATGGTAAGATCAAAGATAAAACGGCAAGAACAATGGTTTATAAAGAAATGAGACCGTTTCTTCCTAATATCACTCAAGATAACTTGCGTAAAAAAACCCTTAGAGCTAGAAAACTTCTTATATTATTCGGAAAAAATGGAGTTGGAATAGATAAAATTAAACGAATTACATATAGTGCAAATGAGATTTCGAAACTAACTAATGCTCAAATTCAGAATATTATAAATCAGGTAACTTCACAAACCGTTCCCTCAGGGAACGATCAAAGTCATGTGACTTAAAAATGCCATGATCAGATTAATGTAGAGGTAAGTATATCTAATGAATCGATTTCAAAGGAACCATCTCAAGCTTTCGCTGATTCAGAAAAAGTACCAGAAACCGAGGTAAGTGTATCATCTAATTCAACTCATGACCGTGCTTATTTCCATAATAAAATATTAGAACAATATCCTAATTTATATCAAGAATTCAGTAGTGAAAATGTTGATTATTACGGAATTACTGATGAGACATTATGCCCATTATGCGAGTTAAATCATGAGGATGAGGAAGGTGTAGAAGGCAGATATGAAGCTGGGTCCTATTATATTAAATGCGAGCAACGTGAAATTGAAATAACTGCATAACTCCATCTTTCATTGCCTCCTAATAAAGAGCATACTGAAACAAATTCGCTCAATATTTTATTTTTGTCTCATGAAATGAGGATGTTTTCGCATCTGGCTATTGTGAATTAAATTGATTTGGAATTATTTAAAACGGCAACATGGATACAAAAACTAAGTCTGATGAAATATTAACCTCAGAATATCTGGATTGGCATGCCAAATTAATTGGTTTACCAAGTATTTTAACAGATAAAATTCGTTCCAAATTATATAAAAGATATAAGAAAGAAACTGGGCTCGATCCCTGGATAAATTCCAAAACGAAGATAAGTGTATCAAACAAAACCCGAGAGGCAGAGCCTTGTTACTCCCGCAACTCCCCAATTTCTGGGATTAATCCAAATAAAATGGAATGTCTTTATAAATATGCCATTGAACATGGAGAGGATCCTGAGAAATTTTCGATCGTCACTGAGGCTGAGAAAAATAGATGGGCCATGAAATGCTTCCGCGAGTACTTGGAAAGAGACATACGCTTTTATCAAGGTGCATTAGAGAGAAAGGAAGATCCTAGAAAATATCATAAATTTTTAACTGATCGGGATAGGCTGATAGGTGAAGAATTATTACGTCACAATATTCTAAAGAGTGGTTCAAATACTACATGGCTCGATAATCTTATGGAAGAATGGGGAAAAAACCATACCCAATTCATACAAATTTTTAGCCAGGCCTAGCCAGACACGAAGTGACCTGCAATAAGTATATTATTTCGAAGGAATGTGAAAGTATGTGTGAGGCTGATTTCTTAGAATATAAGCAAAAATTTGAGGCTAAGATGGGATTCCTACCACACAAAAATGAACTAAAAGAGCGTGCCCTTATTGCATATGGGTAACTTTAGATGTGGAAGTATGCTTCTTCGGCAAAAAATAAAATGTTTGAATCAACGGTATACAGGTGAAAAATCACATGTGCGTCCAATTTGGAACAGAGATTCTGCATGCTGATCACTTTTGCATAATTTCTCTGATAGGTAGGCCCTCATTCGATGTCAAAAAATAAGCTTAATCGTTTTTATACAACAACAATAGATACCTCTCATTTAGACTCTGGGCTTTGCCCATTCGTAAAACAGAGAAGATCCAGTGATCGCATAATATTACACAACATTAGATTAAAATGCATTTGTGAGTTAATCCCTCTGCATAATCAGGTCCTTTATGGGCGACCCGACAAAAGTGAGTAATGGGGTGGCTGAAATTTCAGATTTCTTGGCATATAAAAACAAAGCTTGAAGTATAGGGGCAGTCATCGCCTTTCGAGGCAGGTCTAGGGGCCGATTGAACCCTCCCTTGCAAAGCTTTTTTTTATTAAGGGTGTGGTTGCCAGATTATCATTATCTTTTAGCGAGGAGAGGTAGATCCGACAAGCTACCCACTATACCACTGAGCTATTAGATGAGAAGTAATTTGTGTATATCCACCTTAGCAAAATTGGCATAGGCGGAATCCATATTTCTGGTTGATGTTAACATTAATCACTTTTTTTTTTAGCATAAAACACAAATAGAAACACGAAAATCTACCAAAGAAGAAACTATTAATTATATTCGGTCACAATGGGTTTCTGAGGATTTCGGTACCGAGGATCTTTGCATCTGGGTTTGCTTATATTCTTGATGACAGCTCGTTCTGATTTCCATTATATCTACTATTACCCACAATCCATGATGAGTAACCAAGAAAAAATTTGCCGATATCAGTAAGTCCTGATATAATAGCTTTATAGGTCTTTTTGATTCCAAGTTGGATTGCATCACATTTCTGCTAACATCGAATCTATTTCCGCGAGTTGGGTATCAAAAGGATTATAATGCTCTCTGTGCACTTCCTTCGAAAGATCGTTATTCTTAGGCTGAGATTTAGGTTCGGGTTCAGTATTAGTATCAGGATTGGTATCGGAATCAGAAGAAGTGTCACCCTCAGCATAATAAGTTCCAGAATCAAAACGGTCGATCTTATGTCTCATTGCAATTCTACAAAGTAAACTAAGATGTTGGGCCGTTGGATTTTGACTACCATGAACTTTAGAAGCATGTTTACTCCCTATTTTTCTCAATCTTTTGGCAGTAATACCATATGCATTTAAAAATTTGCTAAATGCTCTAATATTGCGTTTTCCATTATCACTATATACAGGATCACGTAACTTTTTCATTGATATGGCATCTTGAATCCAAGTAAGTAATTCTCTTGCACATTCTGGATCCTTTTCCATGGAAAGGAATTGTCGAGGCTCAGGATTAACCTTATTTTCTCCCTTATTCTTAATATATCCTGTACAATACCAAGAATAACCGGGTTTATACCACTCCGGAGGGTCTGATTCATCAGGTTCACAATGGATAATACGAAGAGTAGTAACTTCAGCAGGTCTCATGCTCAACATCATAATCACATCCGCAAGATCCTGCATAGTGGGAATTTTAGTAGTATCAATATTTTGAATTCTTCTAAGTCCCTCCTCTAAGGAGAAGTGTTTAGGGGTTTTAGGAGCATTGGGTAATCGCTGTACAAGTTGCTTCTTCTGAATTTCGTTAGATGCTTGAGTAAGATCTGAAAATTTAGCATATTTATCAATTACTTTAGAATCAACTCCAGCTTCTTTCAATTCCTTACGAAATAATGTAAGACGTGAGCTGGATGCGACAATTTCTTCATCACTATCATTTTTTGTCTTGATTAAATCTAAAGCATGTAAGTAAATATCATATGGATCTCCAGATTTCGCACAGTATTGAGCTCTCTCTTTGATAGTAAGTTTTTCATTCCTTTTATCTGGTACAAGAGCCTTGATCTGGTCTTTTTTGAATAAGCGTCGGCGAAGAGCTTCTTTCACACTTTTGCGAGCTTTCCAATCTGGTAACATGTCACCAAGTTCACTAGCATATACACGTAATTGTGATGGATTAGATTCAGCGGACAAGTTATATTTTTCTAAGAACAGGTCCAAAATCGAGGTAAAGTTATTAGTTTTGGGCTTTCGGGTTTTTGAGGCAGTTGCCACAGTCATATTGATAATATATTTGACAAGTAGATCGTGATTATCTATTGACCTACTTATTCTTTCAAATTCGAAATTAATTACCCGACCCTTCATTTATAGATCTCAGGAGATATGACTGCCTTATCCATGGATGAAAAAGTAATAAACCTAGACTATAGGTCGTACCCAGAACCTGGCAAGTCCGGTATACGATTCTTAAGTACATCAATCTTTACATGTAATTCAGCCTGCTTTTTTTGATGGTAATTCTCTCTACTTTTATATTTGCCTACATGTTTATCGCATGCATTATATTTAGACCTATTTAGCTCACCACAATCTCTACAAGGAGTATATACTGGAGATTTACGATGAAGATAACATCTTTCTGATTTACTACCCCGACCACAGAATTTTCCAGTTCTATTAATATATGAGCAATGGTATAATATCATCATTACTATATATAATAATTAATTTTATTTTAAAGATTTATCTATCGATTAATATAGTTTCAAAATAATACTACATATACTTTTTGTCAGATCAAGCAACGCGCATATACAATCAACGCATATATACAATCAATAAAATGAGACTGTCTAACGAGGAAAAAAAACTTCTATATGAATCTTTACAACAACAGCACCAAAGTCAAAAATTGGCTGAATATGGCGAGGCAAAGAAACTCCTCTCTGGTTTAACCGATCTTAATTACGAACCTGGCCATGGAAAACATATGTGTTATAAATATTTGCTTGAATCCAATGATAAAAATGACACAGCACTTTTAGAGGCATACCAACCTGAAGAGATTTATTCTCGATATATAATCCGGGTGGCAGGAAAAGGCTTTACATTAATCGATCATCCTTCTGAAATTTATGGATTTCCTGATTCACATGAATGTATTGATGGAAATCAGCCCCTTCGTCCAATACTTGACATTGATGCAAGGCAAAAACCGGATCCCTTAAATCCTGAACTTCCTTCTTTAGATAGTGAAAAAATTACTCGTGAAGATTTGATGTCTAGAATATTAATTGCATGTGCAGATGCATTATATCTTATACCGGAGTGTATGCCAACTTTAGATCATTTTGCTCTAGCTAGTTCGTCAAATATTGATAAATGTAGCTGGCATATTATTTATCCTTATGCTCGGTTTGTAGATTATAGAGAACTTAATATTAAGGGTTTTACGGAAAAGGTTATCGAATTAGTAGGAAAACCATATTCGAAGTTTATAGATGTTGGCCTCCCCAAATCTCGTTTTAGTCTTCGGCTTCTTGGATCTGCAAAAGAAGGACGTATAAAAAGACCCACGATCTCTTCAGTCAAAAATAGATTACACAAGCTAGAGAATTATTTGGTTCAACCAAAATCGTATTATTCTGTAATCTGGCCACGAACCTTTTCTTCTGAGAAGCCAGCAGAGAAATTTCAACCTATCGAAGATGAAAGTGCTTTGGTTAAAGGAGCCAATAATGTAATTGCAAAATACAGATGGCTCGAGATCGGAAAAATTGGAAAAGGATTAATTAACTTTCAAGCACAATTACCTAAAGGATGTCCTATATGTGAGATTACACATGAAAAAGATCAATTATACGGATTTCTTCTAAAAGACGGGCGTTTTATACTCAAATGTTTTCGACAAAAACAACATAAGCCAGATCACAAGGGATTGGTATTTGGCGAGGTAACCAATAATCTACCAAGACCTAAATGGGGATTGAACGAAAGACTAATTAATATCGTAAAGCATCCACGCCCACTTGTAGATTTATCCGGAAAAAATATTAACGTTAAAGAGATGGAAGATGCCCCAGAGGCTTATCCGGATTTCTTGAGTGTGGATCCCACTACAACCTTAATTCGTTCACCTGTTGCTACAGGAAAAACAAAAACCTTAAGAGAGATTATTGATTCTTTAGCCAAAAGTAAAGCGAATTTACCTTGCTTTATCTGGGATTCATATCGAAAAACTCTTAGTAATGAAACTAAAGCTAAAGTTGAAGTATTGCAAAATTCAGGACTTCGTGTGTGTCATTACCAGGAAAATAGTGGTGATTTACCAATACGTGATTGGGATGTTATTATTGTTCAGGTCGAAAGTACACATCGTCTTTCACTTTTTGGAGGTCGTTCTTATGTAGTTATTTTGGATGAAGTGAATGCTATTATGCGTCAAATGTCTAGTGGAATTCATGCACGAGAATCTGAAAATGCCATGCGAGATTTGTTGAAGTCAGCTGTCCATGTTGTGGCAATGGATGCTTTTGCAAATGAATCGACTTTGGCCTTCTTAAAACAATATCGAGGCGAAAATATACGAATTTTTGATAATAAATATCGGCCACGCGAAGGTGAATCTGTAAAAATTCTTTATGACCCAGACAAAGGATCGGAGGCTATACGTAGAGGCCTTAGGATGCTTCAAGAAGGTAAGAGAGTTGTCTTTTCAATGACCTCCTGCAAAAAGGCTCGGGCCTTAGCCGATCAAACATCTAAGTTGCAAAAACCTGATGGTTCATTCGTTTTGTCTCGCGTTTATTTTGGTCAAATGGATGGAAAACAACGCCAAGAGGACTTTGCTGATATTAATGCTACATGGAGTGGCCTTGATTGCGTAATATATACAAGCACTGTGGAAGCTGGCATCTCTTTTGAAATTCCTAATCATTTCGATGCAATTATAGCAATTAGTAATATCAATACAGGAGTGCACGTTGAAGCTTTTGCACAAATGCTTTATCGAGTTCGAGACTGTCCATATCGTATTATTTCTCTTTATAATAGTAAAAAACCTGGCATTTTTAAAGAACCAAATCGTGATCTCATTCGTGCTGAACTTTCTGCCTTGAGACCTGGAGACTCGCCAACTGCTATAAAAGGTCATCGTGAATGGGACAAAATTGCTGATTGTTATACTCTTGACTCGTCACCAGCAGTAGAAACTTATATTGAGGTCGAATATCGGAGACGCTTATCAGCCAAATATTTTCCCGAAATCCTTTGCAATCTTATCGCTAGTACTGGTGCAACACTTGAATTAATTTCAGCAAAAGATACCGAAAAAGTCAACAGGAATAAAGTTTCTCATACTATTAAGAATGTTGAGAAAAAAATTAAAGGTGCAGATGCAGAATCAATAGCCAGTGCTCCAGATATTAGTCCCGATGAAGCTGAGATTCTTAAACAAAACCTTATACGCTCTTTTGCTGATAACATGACTTTACAACGCCATTATTTATGGAGAACATATGCTTCAGGCGATATCGGAGGTAAAGATGATATTCGAAATTGGGGTATGAATAATGATGATTGGGTTAAGCTTTGTGACATAAATTTCGTGAAAAGATATAATAATCCTGAACCTTTACAATATTTTAGGAGGCTGGCATATTTCAGAAGACAAGGTTTCAATGCAATAAATTCTATAGAAAATCTAAAAATCAAGGAAGAAATGCAATGGGAAGATTCACATGAATCTATGGATCCGTCCTCAGTTGATTTGTATAAATTTTATTCAGCAAAACAATGGGAAGCAGTACATAATCTTGTCCAATCAATAGGTTTTAGAGATATAGATGATATGAATATTCTTTCTGGTGATGATGTAGCTAAGACTTTTGAGCAATCACGGGAAAAAATCGTTAAAATTCGAGAAGATGCATTATTACTCTTCGGTTTTAAGACCAGAGCTAAAGGATTACCTGATCTCAAGGCTACAGTAAAATTGATTAATGCAATAGTAGGAAATTGGTGCGGTTATACTGTTAAGAGTGAAGCAAAACTTTCAGGACCAAAAGATCAGCGAATGTGGAAGCGTACTTATTGGATTGATCGTGAACCATACGGCGGAACTGGTTTCAATAAAGCGGGGACTCCAATACTTCCGCCATATAAACCAGAAGAACCAGAGGTTCAATGCTCTTCATCATCAGCTAATGATATTCAAGTACTCTTTGACTCGATATCTGTTGCCAATACCAACTCAAAATTTACCGATTAATTCAGTGTACCAATGATCTAGTTTAGTAGTATACTTATGGCAGGAGATTTCGTCAATTTTACTAACCTGACCTCCATAAATTAAAGACTAGTGCCGTAAATTATGATGATGGTAGTAATTGTATTCACGACATATAAAAAGTGGTTGCAATTACCTTTGCGACCACTTTTGCAACCATACTTTTTCCTTTTTTTGGATTACGGCACTAGTCTTTACCATAAATGCACTCCCTTGGGCATTTATAGAGAGAAGCGATTTCATTGGTTGCACATGATACGCAATATTTTAAATACAGTAATACTAAAATAACTATCCATTGTGGTTGTTTTGATGAATTTACATTGATATATCTTTCAATTTTATTAACCAATTTTATTTGTTTGCTGGCATTTTCTTGCTGCAATAAAAATACATGTATAGTTTCAAGACCTTTAATGCTTCCTCAAGGCTTATTGTCATCTTCTCAGAATTGTCAGCAGGTACATTCATTTTATTTTTTATATTTCTGCAAGTTCTTTGATGATTTTATCATCTTCTGGAACCTCATAGACAATATTCTCTTCAGGGATATTCAAACTTGCATTTTATCAAATACAAAGTTCATTTAGTGACACAAAGTCATGTAACTAAGATAAATTTAAAAATCATCAGCAAAATTTTTTGAATTTCATGATCGGATTAAATCATGTGATATGTTGCACTAAAAATAAAAATATAACATTCTGTCTGATACATTCATTCGTTTAAAGTGCTAGCGTTGTTATCATTACAATAATCTTCTATCCTTGTTCGTATTTATTGAGAATTCTTGTAAGAAATTTCACTTTTTAATCTTTTGACATGCATGGCCCGCATTAAAAATAAAATACGAAAAAATAATACACATGTAAACTTGATAAGTCGGGCACAGCAATCAATTGTTTAAATGCTTGATAAATATAAATAAATGAACGACTTATTGAGTTTTACATGTGTATCAAGAAAATTAATTATAAATTATGATGTTGTTTATTTACACATCTCTTATATACATTAGTTAACATACGTTATTATGCATTAATTATAATACATTATTATACAATAATACATTATATCTAATAATAATAATAATACATTTATTAATCGTGCGTTATTATGTGTGATTATCTTATTAAAATTATAATAGCCAAAAAGAGCAAAGGTCATCATTATCCGTTATATTAATATCAAGATAAATTTATTATAAACGAACGACATACAATCAAAGCTCGTTATAGTGGATCTCGTTATAATGGATTTTGCCTATGGCGGACTTTTTTTATTTCCCCAATTCTCTTTACAATAAAATTTGTTCGTTATAATGGACTTTTTAATAAAATCTCTTTATATGGACTTTTAAAAAATTTGATAATGTTTGTTATAGTGGAAATCATGTGGTTTTATGGCAAATCTTTTACATTAATGGTTAATGTTAATGTGCAATAAAGTTATTCTATTCTTGGTTAACAATAAATTAATGTTAGTATGTTATCCTTTTTTTTTTTTTTTTTACTGATGAAAGAATTATTAGAAACCAAATCCTGAGGTTGATGTTCTGATGAAGAGGAAGAAGTGGAAATGATGGTTATTTCTGATAAAGGGGCATTAAATAGTTTAGAAAAGGTTGATTCAATATTTAAAAAACCCCATTAGATAATTTTTACAATTAGCTATCAAGAATTAAATAGTTTAAAAATCAAAAATTCATAACGTGTTCAGGATAATGCAAAACAACTTATGTTACAGTTTTATTTACTACGTATATATGTGTTGTACATGAATTTATTTGTGTTATTAATAAAAAATTGATCTCGTTATTAGGGACTTTACAATTTATTTATAATAAGTCCACTATAAAGAGATTTTTCTTTATAGTGGACAAAAAATGCCTGGAACCAAGTGTCAACTATAACGAGCTTTGACTGTATATGGATTTCAAAGAAACGCCGGTAAACCGAATGTATATGAAAAATCGTTAAATCCGCTAAATCTGAAAATCAACGAAAAAGGAAATTATAATAATGTTTGATTTTACTAATACGAAGATAGAAATTAATAAATAAAATTTTTTTTTAAGCAAATGAATACTACTATTAATTTGCAAATCATTTATCAACCAGGGAATTTTATATATATATTAATATAGATACATATAAAATCGGCAGGGCTAGATTTTCAAAAACACCACAAATTTCAAACATATCAAAAAAAAAATCTATTATTCTATGTGGTGATTCCATTATGACTCATTTCAACAAAAGCAGTAAGCCCATTCAATATGGAAGTTCACATAGTTCATAAACGAGCACGCTTATGTCATAGTGTATGTTAAAAGAGTAGTTTTATTTAAATAATAACAAAGAAAATTGATCGACGTAGATAATTTTATATATAAAATATTATAAACCAATTTCGGATATTTTAATTTTGGTGGATGTCGAATATTCTCATGGGAACTCAAATGGCGGAGATTTTTGACCTGTTAATGAATAAATTATGCTCATGCAAGCATCTCAGAAAAGAAAAGAATTGTCTTAGATGGGCTTTCGTCCTTGATTTGTAAAATATCGTCGACCTACACTGCGCTACTGCACTAAAAAAATTAAGGAAATAGATTTGACCGTTTAGAGGGTAGCTTATAATTTTCATGTATTAAATAACACAATTGCATAAATACGCATTTCAATAAAATAAAAAATTCATTTAGATCATAATTAATTCAACAAATACATGCTCACAATACGTATACGTCATGTTTTTGCTATTGTTATTAAAAAGAATAATGGGCGTATCATGTCACATGTACAGTATATATAAACAGTGTATAAAATTCAATGTGCGGAATGTGCGGGTGTAACATCGTACATTAGCAGTTTTCTGCAGATAGTTTCTAAATTTGTAGAAATCTGCATTAGTTACACACTGAAATTTACACACTGTATATAAATCACGTTTCGATGTGTAACAAGATATTTTTAAAATTCGTAAAATCCGTTGAAAACGCGAATTTAATTATAATCCGTTGAAACAAGTATTATACTAATATTGTTATTGTGGCTAAAAATTTATGCAAATTTAATATTAAATATTAACCGAAAAATAACTTTTGTTTTCTTGATATTATAAGATATAAAAAAATAGTAAGTGCAAAAATTAATAATAAACATTAACTGAAAAAACAACCTTTTGTTTTCCTGATATTATAAGATATCACTAAGGAGGAAATGAAATTTTTTATAAATACATCAATTCCACTCGATTTTTTTCTAATTCAAAAATACAAAAATACAAATAATAACAATAAATTATTTTCTAAAAAACTAGAAACACAAATATATATACTTAATCTTCTATATAACCTTAAAAATTCAAAATGAAATTTATTCTCTTTTTTCTTACCTTTTATCTTTTTTATCATTGCTATTACTTCAGCAACACCAACTGGTAACATTAATGAAGATAATATTTTAAATAAACGTTTCTCTTGTGAGTTCGGTGGTATACCCGCTTGTAAAGCTAGTTGTGCATCTAAAGGCTATTTTGGTAAAGTTAAATGTTGTCCATGTAAAGGTGGTAGAGTGATTTGTCGTTGCGCAGGCAATTGTGTACCTCCAAATCTATGTTAATTATATTTTTTTCTTTAATTTTATTATTCATGTGATCTTCCAATGGTAATAGAAATTAAATTTATTTTATAATATCTAATCATTTGTAATAGTTAGAATAGGTTTAATAATTAATATATAGTGAAAGATTCTAACGGTTATTGTTATGAGAAAAATATTTTATATTTTACTTCAAATTATTTTTAAATAAATATTGTTATTCTATTTATATGATTCAAAATATTAATTCGTGGTTCATCAATGAAGGAAAGGATCTACATAGTAAAATTCCGGGATAAGCATCATAGTAAAATCAATTAGTGTCCATAATCTGGAACCACTGCAGAAATAGCACAATATTTTACATGTAGATTTGTACTTTAAAATTACTAAATAAAACTCTGAGTATCTGGCTAT